CGCGGGGTCCACATATGGGAGTACAAAATAAAGCTGATGTGAGAAGTGTGCAGTGACAGACTATGACATAAGCAAAGGTCAATTTAGTCAAGGTACTCAGAAATTTATATAGCACCTATAGTAATATTCCTTTTTAACCTGCCATAATGTTCCATTTTAGTTGAAATGACCAAATTATCCTTACAACCCCAAGCAGACATGTCCCCCAGTTGTGTGTTAACTCCCCCTTATTAGATAGAAATATTTACTCCACTTGTGGTTATTTAACAAAAAACTTGATGATTTAAAAAAAATTATAAACTTTTCCAAAAAATTAGTCACATAATTTACATATAGTGGTAATTAATTATATACTAATTACAAAAAGATTAATATAGGTACATGCAATTAGTAAATAGTGGCAATCTATTTATATATAATCTATTTATATATTTATATTTATATATAATAGGAGGGGCAAAGAAATATTATAATGGCAAGTGTCATAATATTAAATTGACACATATACTTTTTTTGGACAATTCTCCAATTTTGTTGGAGTTTCCAATTTTTGGCAATCTATTTATATATAATCTATTTATATATAATAGGAGAGGCAAAGAAATATTATAATGGCAAGTGTCATAATATTAAATTGACACATGTACTTTTTTTGGACAATTCTCCAATTTTGTTGGAGTTTCAAATTTATTTAAAAAAATGTAAAGTTTTTTTTAGAATTTTTAAATTTTCAAACAATAGAAACCACCAATAAAAATCACCAATTACTCCCACTTCCTCCATTCCCCCTCCTCATGTAAAGTTTTTAAACTTTAAAGGTAAGCAACAGTTGACTTCAAAGACCACATTACTCGGCACTAATAAGAAAATAGAAACCGTAAAGGTTTAAAAATAACCTGAAACAGTACCTACATTATGGATTATTCATCCCCACTCCCTCCCTCATAAATGATTCTCCTCCTATTTTTCTTAATTACGAACTTTGTTCAATGTGTGGGCTTAAAATTTCTGCAATTTCACATCTTCAGTTCAAGGTATCCGTAGTGATTCTACATTCGTACACTGCGAAGTTCAATTTTGAAGTAAAATTTGAATTGCTAAAAGTTCGTCGGCGACAGTATTGTTAAACCATGGTTATGGATTCAGAATAATCGGTTCACAATTTCATCCAAAAAGGTGCTCTTTTTTTATTCGAAAAAGTGCAGCTTCTGCATTCCAATTTTAACTAATTTACTTCTAAGTAGGTTTTGTTTGTTTTGTATTTTTGCAGCATTTTTCACAAGGAGGATATGTGAGAGAATTCTTCTAATGTGATCGACGAAGGGAGTATATATTCAGTAGTAAGGTAAGTTTTATTTTGCCTATTTTCCCTTTATTTATCCAATTTGGGTATTATTCTTCTCATTATGTTGAGTTTAATAGTAGCAACTTTTTTGGATCTTCTTCTTTTTCTTCCTTTGAGCTAATTCTTTCAAGACCTTCGGCGGAAATCCTCTACACCACTATTTTTACCATTGCGCTAACTGCTAAGATCACTGCTTCTACTTGCGGAACAAATTAAAAGAAAATTCAATCTCAAAATTTTCATCCAATCGGACCTTCTTTTGGAAGAGTCTACTTCAATTCAACGGTGCAAACTTATGTTATTTCCTAATAACATTGATAAAACTGATAAATAGATGACATTCTTTCCCTCTAACTTTAGTGTAGATATATAAAAGGATAAGAATACAAACGGGAAGAAGAATTTAATTTAATTGCTCATCAAAAATAATACAAAAATAATAATTATCATCATTATTAGTAGGTTTATAACATATAATAAAACACAATGACTACAATGGTGAAATATATTATTTAAACAAAAGTTTTCAATGAGTACATGCAACATTTTCCATATGTTATAAGGTTTTCGAATTTGGACTAAAATATAAAAAAATTATTTTAAATGGAAAGATAAATAATTTTATGAAAAACATGTATAATGATGGTAAAGGACATTAGTTTAAACAAAGGATTTCAATTAATGAACGTATTGCTCTTCTAAAACTATGAATGTAGTATTACGATAACTTATAAGAATGTCTAAGAATCTTATAAAGCAATTAACTAAAATTTATTTGATTTCTCCAACAATAACATAATATCATTTTTGACCAAAAAATTATTGTAGTATCATTTTGACCAGAATATATATAACTATATATATATATATATATATATATATATATATATATATATATATATACGTATGTATGTATGTATGTATATATGTGTGTGTGCATACACACACATAAAAGTAAGAATATAACATCGATATTTATAATCCACATATCTAATTGGAAGCTATAAGATTTCATAAAATAACTAAATAAGTAAGACCTATAAATCGAGTTACTGAATTAAGAATTTATTAGAAAACGAGTTGAATAAAAATCCTAATAATAATTTTGATTCTATCTAAGTCAAAATACCTTCTAATCCAATCGAAGATAATTTTCACATTATTTTTTTAATTATTAAAAGACATGAGTCTATTTTTCTCATATGAGGCTATTCTAAATATACATCTCTTTACAAAAGAATAACTTTATGATCTTCATTATGAGGACAAAATTGAAGATTTTAATGATGATGATTACGATGACAATGATGATCAAATAACAAATAAAGTTAGAAAAATACAAAATCAAACATTTTTAGATTTATTTAATTATAATATATTCGTATTTGTGTTGAATCGTATTATATTTTTAGATTGTGTGGAGCACAAACTATATAATTACTAGTAAATCAATTTATAAGAGATGTCAAACATATGTATTAAATAACAACAGTATTCCTTTTGAAGCATTCATAAAAGAGAGCATACAAAATAAGTATTCTTTTTCTCCTAACAGTACAACTATTGTCTATAATGCCGATGTTATCCTTTGTTAGTTTTTAACTTTCTCCTCTTTCATTTCTTCCATGCTTTCCCATTCCATACATGTATTATTGTCGTACCCCTTAATCTTTTATCGATTTCTAAAAGCAAAAAATTTCACAAGCTAAGGACTATTTTTCGTATTTTCCTTTCTTTTTATTTTTGTAGTATGACTATTTATTGAGGTTAACATCCAGCCTTACTCGCAGTTGGCCGCTGTATCTTTACATGGCCAAATGAGGTATTTTACATGACAAAACTATACAAAGCTATGCTTATACCATTTTTCTAACACAGGGTTTGAGTAGATTTTCCGAATGATAAACACTTAACGCCAAGAAAATTTATTAATAAGAGATGGATCAGAATAGAGGAAAGGCAATTTCTAAATCTTCAGGTCATTAGCTATATTATAAGAAGAATAATGCAAAGGCAAAAGTCGCGAATCAACAAAGATACAATAGAGAGCGAAAGGAGTTTGCATAAGCTAAATAATACTCAAAACAATCACAGACAAATTAAAGTACTAAATCCTTTCTTAGAGTTGTCGCATTCAACTCCATCGATCTTCCTCACACTTTGAACGGATAAGTATCACGAATGAGAGATCGATCCCGCTGTCCACCATCCTAAAAAGAAATTCAAAGACAACAGAAAAATACTAAAGTAATGAACCGACAAAATCTCTAAAGAGAGAAGGGCGAAGAAATTGGAGGAGGAAAACCTTAGTAGTGAAAACTCAGGAATTAAAATATTAAAGAAGCTAATAATATATGCTATGAGATTTTTTTTTTATTATTAAATATTTAAGTAACACAAATATAAGGAATAGAATCATGAGATTCTGAACATAAACATAAATTACAATGCAAGCATTAGAGAGGGAAAAAAAAACTTCTTACAAAAAGGACTTTAAATAGGAGGGAGGAGAAATAAAACAGTACTTAAAAAAGTTAAATTTTCATAATGGCAAGTCTGGGAGTCTATTCTCTTATAAGGTAATTACACCTTATAATATTTTTCCAGTAATAAATATAAATTTATTGAATAAAGATTATAAAATTTTAATCCACCAAAGGGAATAAATTTTACTTGATCAAATTGAAGCAAATTATAACTCTAGTCTCTAAAGACTGTAAGTAGAATTTATGAAATTATATGTCGTTCCGATGAAGCGAAGCAAATGCAATTCCCCTAATTGCCAGAGAGTACATATATTTCTTCACTCTACAAACAAAGCCTAAGCTGAAGATCAGAAAAGAAGAACGCTTGAAAGAAAAACCTAAGTAATTTGATGAAGAGATCATCTACGATGAAGTAACTATGATTATACGCTCAAACTATGAAGAGAAACATAGTTAAAGATCATAAGTCATAAAATGAGAAAATGATACACATATAAACAACAAAATATAAAAAAATAAAAAAACTCATGGTCACCATAACTTTTTATGTATTTACAACAGTAAAATTTAGAAATTATATCTCCGTCGAAGAATATATGACTGTTTTATTGTGATTACTACTATTAACTGCACACTACTCAATTTTGAACTCAACAGAAGTAATAGGCATATCAATAGTATGTTAGAGGGCAAACAAAAGCAAGTAAATATCATAATTAAGATATTTACCAACTATAATAAATACGGTGAGCAAGTGTAAGACCAGTATTTGTGTAGCTTGGGAGATTGAGCAAGCAATAAGGACAATGTTCCAACCACCTGCATGAAAAAGAGAATCCAACTTTGATAAAAGATCATCCACACAAGAACTCCTAGAGAAAAAGTAAAAGGTGGACAAGGGAAAGGAAAATAAAATAAAATTAATGGCCAATGCATTATGAGCAATATCTAGGAATCTGCTCATAAAAAATGAGAACTAAAAGGTTAGGTGTTAAGAAATATGCAATTCTTGTCATAAACACACTTCCAAAATAAATCAATATAGTTTAACTAAATAAGGGATTTTAAGAACAAAATAAAACAACACATGAAGTTAAAAAAGGTAAATATATTTTCCTTTAGGCAATTTAATATATTTTACATTGTAGCAATATCTATCGTGCTGTAAATTATCGATGAATATCAAAAATAAAAGACCATTTTTGACGTATATATAAATAACTTCTCCGCCACAACTCTAGTTAATTTTTCTTCTTCTTGGGATCTAGTAGCCAAAGCCCCATTCAATATCATGGTGTTCAATGCCACACCAAGAATTTTATTAAAAGAAAATTTACGTATACGTTTTTTCCTTTTTCTTCACTCAACTAAATTTCTCACAGTATATGATTTTATATACACTATACAGAGTCATTCTTTATATTACCACTATAAATATCCAAATCAGCTACGCACATAAAATGGTCTACATATATAAAACAATAGGTACATGCCTCGACACATAAATAAGACAGGAGGACAATAAAAGTAAATTTAAATGAGTTAAAGATATTATGTCATCGGTATACTACACATAATATCTTTACCTAATAAGTTACTGGTAACACGGTAATCCTCCATATTGTCTCCAAAATCATATGTCGTTTCATATACATCCTCGCTATCATTAACAAAAAGTATGTCTGATATCTGATTCACAACTAAGACATTAAGCTAAGTTGTGGCAATCTGCCGGTGGCTTTAAAACTATTGTAGAAGAGAATAGGCTGGCATTATCTCGATACATATCAAATGACTTCCATAGTATAATCTTTCATCATAAAGAAATTAAATGCAGGTTAGCTGCTATAATTACTAAAAAATCATATAAAATGACGCCAAGTTATTTAAAGATCAAATCTGAGCTGTATAATCTAAAAATGTAAGAAAAATAATAAGTAGTTAATAATTAACAAAGCCAAATACTAAATTGACTTGAAAGGAGTTTTAGAGGGATTCAAATGTTAATTGTGTCCAAGCAGCAAAATTACAACAATCACATTACACTATTGTTCTTGACAAATAGAGTTGAATATATTAGCCTTCAAGTCCTAGTTCACATTCAAATAAGCATTGAAAGATTTATCAAGAGACCATGAGTGCAACAATAACAGGTTTCTCAGTTTATAGTTTAGTTTTTGATGATAAATGTTGCACTTAAGAACTTTAAAAAGTTTGGTTTAAGATGCTTGATCAGATATCTGCACATAATACACGAAGAAACATAAATGAGTGTGAGCACGTGATTTTTGCTTCACGATAATTACTCCAAAAGAAATCAAAAAATAAAGCAAGTTACCTTCGGGTACAAATCTTGAGAGTTTGCGTGACATTTTAGTAATTATTTTGTTCGTAAATGTTTACCTTATTGCAGTTTAAGTAAAAATACAAAAATACTTGTTGCATGCATATTTAGGATTAATTGAGCCTTTAATAATTAATTAAACCATAATTTGGTTTTAAAAAGCGAAAATCACAAAAATATGCATTTTTATTCTATTTGTTGTCATCGTGTGATTTTATTAAATGTTTTAATTTGTGTGTTAATTGTCGTTAAGTGTTAATTAATATCTGTGTAGTTTAATTTTGGTTGTTATTTAATTAGGAATTTTT